AAGAGGTAACTATGGGGAGGAAGTGGGAGGGGAGCTGTTGCATTGTGGTAAACTGTGGTCAATGTCATGAGACAAAGTATATGTGAACCGCTGTGAATTTGCTCTGTAAACCTTCACCCAAATCACAGTAAAAATAAATAAATAAATAATATAGGCTCAGGGTTTGAAATCTATTTACTCTCCAGTTGTGCACATGCACATACACACACACATACATTTAACATTTTTAGAAAGAAAATATTATGGTTGTTGGGTGCTTCGAATCAACTGTCAACTCATAGTGACCCCATGTCTTAGGCTGTAATTTTTACGGAAGCAAAATGCCAGGCCTTTATGCCATGAAGCTGTTGAATGGGTCTCCTAATGGACTCATCCCTGTGCCCTCTTCCACCTGTGACTCTACAGAATCTCTATTCAGGATGTGCTTTACCCTCTCATAGCTCAGACACACGCCATCTTTTGATTCCTGTCTACTACATTAGCACTGGAGCTCACCTTAGGAATTACGATTCTTGACCACCTGAGTCTACCATGTCGACCACCACACGATGCCAATTCTTGACAGACTACAGAGGCTTGCAAAGGCCATTGTTACTAAGGCTCCTTTCAGCTAACTGGTAGTCAGCCCTAGTTATGTGACACCCACTGAATACATCCTCACTGAAAGGAACACAAAGTATAGCCACTAGTGTGGCACTCATTGCTCCAGCCTGGCCATTGTACTGATAGCATTGTACAATTCTTCATTCTACATATATGCTCAGTGATCCCCTATTTCCTTCACCCAGACTGTAGAGTCGTGGTCATGAACTTTGGTTCTGGAGATCAAATGTCAGGATTCTATCCTATCTCCACCACTTATGGCTCTGTCTCCTTACCCATAAAATTGCATAGCAATTGGGGAAAAAAAAAAAGTTGTCATCAAATCAACTTTGACTCATTGCAACTCTGTGTGTGTCAGAGTAGAATGGTGCTCCCAGGGTTTCAATGGCTGGTTTTTCAGAATCCCTGCCTTACTTCCAAGGAGCACATGGGTAGGTTTGAACCACCAATCTATTGGTTAGTAATCAAGTGCATAACAATTTTTACCATTTGGTGACTCCTGCCTAACTTAGAGTGGTATGTATTGAGTCAATACACGAAAAGCATGTAGAACAATCTAGGATATTAAAAAAAGAAAACAAACTCACAGCCATGAAGTTGATTCCAACTCATAACAACCCCCATTGGGTTTCTGAGGCTGTGAATATTTACATAAGTAGATTGCCTCATCTTCCTTCCACAGAGCAGCCAGTGGGTTTGAACCACTGACCTTCTGGTTAGCAGCCAAATGCCTTACCTTCTACACCCCCAGAGCTCCTTAGTGAACATTATATATATTTGTCATTATGACTGTCCTCTGCCAATCAATCTCCATCTGCCAGAGTCCGCCTTATCCTTAAAGGCTCAACCTACATGGCTGCTTCACCCTGCCCTGTTTGCAGATCCACTGAATCAGAATTCAGTTTCCCTCTCCAATGTCGATCCAGTTAACCAGGGCTCAGCCACCGATGGCCCATGCACACAATCTGGCCTGCAGCCTGTCTTTGCCCAGCCCACAAGTTTAGGATGGTTTACGTTTTTAAATGGCCACAATCTGTGTTTCCTGATACATGACAGTTACATAAAATTCCGATTTTAGTTTTCACAAATAAACTCTCACTGGAACACAGTGGTGTCTGTGGTTGCTTTGCACATGAGAACTGAGCTGAGCATTGTGACAGAGTCTGTGTGACCCACAATGCTGAAAATACTTCCTATTTTTATAGACATTTGTCTACTGAACCCTGCACTAGGTCATAGACTTTTTTGTTGCAGTTGTGGTTATTGAAATTACACAGCAAAACTTACACCAATTCAACAATTTTTACATGTGCAAATAAATCAGTGACATTGACTGTATTCTTCAAGTTGTGCAAATATTCTCACCTCCTTTTCCGAGTTGTTCCTCCCTCGTTGACACAAACTTGTTGACCCCTACGTTTCCTACCTAACCTTTCAAGCTGCTCTTGTCAATTGGATCCCAGATAGACCAAATCTTTCTTTAAAACAGCACAATGATGAAGGCAAATATCCTTCGCTAATTAAGCTAACCTAAAGGAGCTCTGGTGGCATAGGAGGTAAGGCATTAGCTGCTAACCAGAAGGTCAGTGGTTCAAATCCACCAGGTTCCCCATGAGAGGAAGATGAGACAAGCTACTTCCATAAAGGTTTTCAACCTTGGAAACCCAATGAGGGTCACTATGAATTGGAATTGACTCAATGGCAATGGGTTTGGTTTTTGGTTTAAAGAAGACTTCAGGGAATATTTTGGTTTAAGGTTTAAAGTTTATCTCAGGGTACTAGTTTCAGGGTCTCATCAACATTTAGTAGTTCCAGAAAGTCTGGGTTCCAAGATAATTTGAAATTCTGTTCTTCAATTCTTCCCTTTTGCTCAAGATTCTCCTATAAGTTCTTTGATCAAAATGTTCAGCAAAGATAACTTTTAGAGAGTAAGAACTGTGTTGCTTTATCATTCCAGAGCCTATAAAGAATTACCCATGATAAACAGTAGTTAGCATTAATTCATTGAAAGTTCAGAATTGGATCATGGAAAAATAGGAAAATAATTTCTGACCTCGTTCTCCTTTCTGTCCATTCATTCCATCCTTTCCTGGGCCTCCAGGAAGTCCTGGCTCTCCTGGGAGAAAAAAAAACAGAGGCAAGACTTCATATTCTAGTTCTGACTTTAGCAGACATTGGTCTCAATGAATGATGGATATTGGAGAGTACGGAGCAAGGGGTGAGCTCCCAGCCCTGTCATATATTACCCTCCCTTACAGACATATGTGCAAAGAAGTTGATGTGCAAAAATATAAAGGCAGTTGTTGTTGTTACTTGCCATTGAGTCAGTTCCAATACATGGTGACCTTGTACACAATAAAATGGAACAATGTCAAGTCCGGTGCCATGCTCATGATCATCGATGTGTTTGAGTGCATTGTTGCAGGTACCCTGTCAATTCAGCTCAGTGAGGGTTTCCCTTGTGCTTGCTGATCCTCTCCTTTAGCAAACGTGACGTCCTTCTCCAGCAATTGGTCTTTCCTGATGATGTGTCCAAAGCAAGTGAGCCACAGTGTCACCATCCTCACTTCTAAGGACCAGTCTGGCTTACGCTGAGTCACATAAGTGAATTAGCACAACAGCAATGTGGACTTCCCACGCACCTGCTCCAAGACCCCAATGTGAGCACACAGAACAGGCTGAGTAGGGGTTTACATGGCTGCATTTGTTTTGTGTGCTGAGCACTACTTACGTGATCTGAATGCTGGAGGGACTGGGTGGCTTTCTCTGTTCTTTTCCCTTCCCATCACTCTTGTGGAGAGATGGAGGAGAAGTTTCACTAGCATCCTACAAAACCACAGATGTCTATGGTGGTATGGCACTGTTTGGGATGGGAAGGAAGCTTCTGGAAGCAGTGTCTTAGAGTAGTGGTGAATTACCACTGATAAGTTGGCATAGGAGACCCCATCTGGGGAACATCACAGGAAAGAGGTTTTGTTTGACCACACAGGAGTCCTATCATCAATCCAAAATCTATCTATCTATCTATCTATCTATCTATCTATCTATCATCTATTTCTCTGTCTGTCTATCCATCTACGCAAGCCAGAGCAGTGGGTTTGGAGCAGTTGAGGGAGACCAGGAAGGAAGCAGGCCAGCACAGCGGGTGTGCAGTGGCTGAGGGAGACCAGGAAGGAAGTGAGCCGGTGTTGCGGGTGTGGAGCAGTTGAGCGAGACCAGGAAGGAAGCCAGTGTGGCAGCTTTGGAATGGCTGAGGGAGATGAGGAAGTGAGTGGAGCGGTTTGGAACAACTAAGGGAGAAGAGCTTGTCTGTCAGTTTGTCATATTGTAGTGGCTTGCATGTTGCTATGAGGTGGAGGCTATGCCACCGATGTTTCATATGCCAGCAGGGTTACCCATGTGGACAGGTTTCAGCAGAACTTCCAGACTAAGACAGAGGAAGGAAGGGGCTAACCCCTTCCCAAAGAATTGGCCAGTGAAAACCTTATGAATAGCAGTGAAACACTGTCTGACATATTACTGGAAAACTTTATGGATAGCCCTGAAACATTGTCCCATATAGTGCTGCAAGATGAGCCCCTCAAGTTGGAAGGCACTCAAAAGACAACTGGGGAAGAGCTGCCTCCTCAGAGTAGAGCCAACTTTAATGATGTGGATGGAGTACAGCTTTCAGGACCTCCATTTGCTGATATGGCATGACTCAAGATGAGAAGAAACAGCTGCAAACATCCATTAATAATTGGAACATGGAATGTACAAAGTATGAATCTATGAAAATTGGAAGTTGTCAAAAATGAAATGGAACACATAAAGATCAATAACCTAGGCATTACTGAGCTCAAATGCACCGGTTTGGCCATTTTGAATCAGACAATCATATGATCTACTATGCCGGGAATGACAAATTAAAGAGGAATGGTATGGCATTCATTGTCACAAAGAATGTATCAAGATCCATCCTGAAGTACAATGCTGTCAGTGATAGAATAATATCCATACCCCTAAAAGGAAGACCAGTTAACACTACTATTATTCAAATTTACACACCAACCACCAAAGCCAAAGATGAGGAAATTAAAGATTTTTACCAACTTCTGCAGTCTGAAATCGACCGAACATGCAATCAAGATGTGTTAATTAACACTGGTGATTGGAATGCAAAAATTGGAAACAAAGAAGACTCTCTGGTAGTTGCAAAATATGGCCTTGGTGATAGAAATGATGCTGGAGATCGCATGATAGAATTTTGCAAGACCAATGACTTATTCATTGCAAATACCTTTTTTCAACCACACAAATGGCAGCAATACATGTGGACTTCACCAGATGGAGTACACAAGAATCAGACTGACTACATCTGTGGCAAGAGGCGATGGAGAAGCTCAGTATCTTCAGCCAAAACAAGGCCAGGAGCTGACTGTGGAACAGACCATCAACTGCTCATATACAAGTTCAGGTTGAAGCTGAAGACAATTAACAGAAGTCCATGAGAGAGGGATGGACACTGGGAAGAGGTAACTATGGGGAGGAAGTGGGAGGGGAGCTGTTGCATTGTGGTAAACTGTGCTCAATGTTATGAGACAAAGTATATGTAAACTGCTGTATGGAAAGTGAATTTGCTCTGTAAATCTTCACCCAAATCACAATTTAAAAAAAAAAAAAAAAAAGTCCATGAGAGCCAAAATGACCTTGATTATATCCCTCCTGAATTTAGAGACCATCGAAAGAATAAATTTGATGCAATGACCGAAAACCAGAGGAATTGTAGGATGACATCAAGAACATCATCCATGAAGAAAGCAAAAGATCATTAAAAAAAAAAAAAAAAAAAAGACAGGAAAGGAAGAAAAGACCAAAATGCATGTCAGAGGAGACTCTGAAACTTGCCCTTGAATGAAGAGTAGCTAAAGCAAATGGAAGAAATAACAAGATAAAAGAGCTGAACAGAAGATTTCAAAGAGCAGCTTGAGAAGACAAAGTCTATTATTATAATGAATTGTGCAAAGACCTGGAGTTAGAAAACTAAAAGGGAAGAACATGCTCAGCATCTCTCAAGATGAAGGAACTGAAGGAAAAAATTAAGCCTCGAGTTGCAATACTGAAAGATTCTCTGGGCAATGTGGGTGGGGGCTGTCTCCCTCCCATTGCCTGGATCAGGCCGCCATCAGCCCTGGCTTTCCCGCTTCCTGCCTTGGGTGGGTGCTCTCTCCATTTCCTTTTATAACATTGAGAAGAATGGGAATTCCAGGACACTTAATTGTACTCATGAAAAACCTGTACACAGACCAGGAGGCTGTCGTTCTAACAGAACAAGGGGACTGCGTGGTTTAAAATCAAGAAGGTAGTGCATCACGGTTGTATCCTTTCACCATCCTTATTAATCTGTATGCTGAGCAAATAATCCAAGAAACTGGACTGTATGAAGAAGAATATGGCATCAGGATTGGAGGAAGACTCATTAACAACCTCTTCAACTTTGCTTGCTGAAAGTGAGAATGACTTGAAGCACTTACTGATGAAGATTGAAGACTACAGTCTGCAGTATGGATTGCACCTCAATATAAAGAAAACAAAAATCCTCACAACTGGTCCAATAAACAGTTTCACAATAAATGGAGAAAAGATTGAAGTTGTCAAAGACTTCATATTACTTGGTTCTACAATCAACACCAATGGAAGCAGCAGTCATGACATCAGACAATGTACTCCAATAGGCAAATCTGCTGTAAAAGACCTCTTTGAAGTGCTGAAGAGCAAGAATATCTCCTTGAAAACTAGAGTGTGCCTAACACAAACCATGGTATTTTCAATCGCCTCGTATGCATGTGAGAGCTGGACAATGAATAAGGAAGACCGAAGAAGAGTTGATGCCTCTGAGTTGTAGTGTTGGCAAAGAATAGTGAAAGCCCCATGGACTGCCAAAAGAACTAACAAATCTGTCCTGGAAGAAGTGCTGCTGGAATGCTCCTTGGAAGTGAGAATGGCCAGACTTTGTCTCACCTTCTTTGGTCATGCTGTCAGAAGTGACCATTCTCTGGAGAAGGATATCAAGCTTGGTAAAGTGGAGGGCCAATGAAAAAGGGGAAGGCCCTCAACAAGAAGAATTGACACAGTGCCTGCAACGATGGGCTCAGGTATGGCAAGACTCGTGAGGCTGGCATAGGACTGGGCAGTGTTTCATTCTATTGTACATAAGGTCACTATGAGTCAGAGACAACTCGATGGTACCTCACAACAACAACATCATCTATCAATCTACCATCTATCTATCTATCTGTCTGTCTGTCTATCTATCTATCCATGTATGTCTATCCATCTACCATCTGTATCTATCATCTATCTACCTACCTACCTATCATTTGTCAATCTACCATCTCTCTCTCTCTCTATCAATCTACCATCTTTCTCTATATATCTATCTATCTTTTATGAATCTACCATCTGTATCTATCTATCTGTCTGTCTATCTATGTATCTGTCTGTCTGTCTGTCAATCATCTAGCTAAAGGTCCCTGGGTAGCACAAAAGGCTGACACCTAACTACTATCCTAAACATTCGTGATCTAACCCCATGCACTGGGCCTGTGGGAGGAATCATTCTGCTTCTATAAAGACCAGTGCCAGCAAAGGCCCATGGAATTAAGTTCTATCCTGTTACACACAGGGCTCCATAAGTCGGAATCCACTCAGTGGCAATGGGTTGATGTTGTTGTTTTCTAAAATTTATCTATCATTCTATCTATCACCTTTTGTCTGCATAAAATATTTCATAATAAAAATTTAAATCTCATTCACTTGGAAATAACACACACACACACACACACATTCACTCTCAAGTCAGAGTGAAAAGAGCTAACTGCCAGATCCGGGAACCACCATCCCTTGGCCCCACCCACCGCACTCCTTCAGCCAGAGGTGCAGTGAGCTACAGAAATGTTGCCTTGGGCCTGGAGCCACGTGTGCTGAAAGGCTTTCAGGGAAAGCCAGCAGGTGCCCCTGGGAGTGTGCAGTCAGGGAGACTGCTGCCTCACTTTAACTTTTCCATTTGTAACTCTGACGCCTGGTGACCCACGTGTGTCAGAGTGGAACTGTGCCTCACAGGGTTTTCAACAGCTGCTTTTTCAGACACAGATGACCAGGTCTTTCTTCTGAGATGCCTCTGAGTGGACTCAAAGCACCAACCTTTTGGTCAGCAGCTGAGTGTGTTCATTGTTTGTACCATGGGACTCTCAACTTCCAGCTAGAAAAATCTAAAGTAGCAGCCAGCTGCAGCTGTCCCAATGGCAGAGCAAAGAGGACAGTGGCACTGTGAACACACACAGTAGGTAGGGCAGCAGTGCCCTTTTTTCCTGGGGGCAAGTGGGTGCCTCTAGAGCAGCCAGGCTTGTGACAGATTGAAAAACCCTACCCATGAGAACTGTCTGCCAAGGCAAGAGGACCAACAGGAAGAGGCCGCACTAGAAGCTGAGGGGCACTTGGAGCCTGTGTTAGATCTCTCGTGCTGCTGTGACAGGAATACCACATGTGGCTGGTTTTAAAAGTAGAAATTCACTCTCTCACAGTTTAAGAGGCTAGAAGTCCAAGTTCAGAGTGGTGGCCCTAGGGGAGGGCCTTCTGTCTCTATCAGCTCGGGGGGAAGGTCCTTGGCTCCTTTCAACATCTGTGGGGCTGGTGATCCTTGGAAGTCTCCAGGTACCTTAGCATCAATCTTCCCCTGGGTCTAGGAGGTTCTCAGCACAAGGACCCCAGGTCCTAAAGATGTGCTCTGCTCCTGGCTCTTCTTTCTTGGTGGTACTCAGGCTCCTCCTTCTCTGCTCCCTTCTCCCTCCTTTTATCTCTTGTCAAATAAAAGTTGATGCACCCACACCCCAGGGAAACTCCCCTTACATCAGAACAAGGCTGTGACCCTAATCCCCTTAAAACTGATTAGCTGTTCACATCGGATTACAGCAGAGGATGATGACATCATCACACTGCCAGATTACATCATTACATAACTGCCAAATCACATCACTACATAATTGCCAAGCAAGTGAGAATCATGGCCCAGCCAAGCTGACACGTGTTTTGGGGGGACACAATACAATCCATGACAGATCCCATTAGGCAGCAAGTGCAGGAGGTCCACAAAGCACCAGGCTAGTAACATTTCTTCTTCTTCTTTTTTAAAATAATATTTTATTGTATTTTGGGTGGAAGTTTAAATAGTATATTATGTTCAGTGACATTAGTTACATTTTTCACAATGTGTCACCATTCACTTTAATTGTGTTCTGGTTGTTCTGTTTCCAGTACTCTAGTTTCCCTGCCACTTTATCTTTTTATGTTTGCTTCAGAGTAAATGTTGAGTAAGTAATACTTCTTGTACCTCTTTCTCCCCTGCCAAACCCTGTCTCGAGAGTCAAAGGTAGTCCTGGCAGGAAGGAGACTGGGAGTGCAGGCTGGAAGAACTGTGAAGAAGGATATATCCTGAGATGCATGTAAGCACATGAACACAAACACACACACACATACACACACACACACACACCACTGCTGGACCCTGGGGAGGCAGACAGAAGACTTCATTTCAGCCAGACTGAGGTATTGCTATTAACTTGAACTGGACTTTTTACTACCTGGAAAAGAGACTGATCTAATGCCAAGAAGTGACTGGAACCACATGAATTTGTGAGTAACTATCCAGTTGGAGAGGAGCTCTGGTGGTGCTGTGGTTAAAGCATTGGGCTGCTTGCTAACCAAAAGGTTGGTGGTTCAAATCCACTAACTGCTCCACTGAGAAAATGATAAGGAAGTCTTCTGTAAAGACTGACAGCCTTGGATACCCTGTGGGGCAGTTCTACTCTGTCCTCCAGGGGTACAGTGAGTCAGAATTGACTCTATGGCAGTGGGTTTGGTTTGGCTTATCCAGTCGGAGGGATCTGAAGGGGAAGAATTGGGGGTGTCCCTGGGTTATGCAATGGTTGATGCACTCACTGCTGGTTTGCACTCCCAAACACAAGTGGATCTCTCTGCAGGCTTCACTAGCACCTGCCTGTCTGTTTGTTGTACTGTGGTGGCTTGTCTTGCTATGATGCTGGAAGTCATGCCACCAATATTTCAAACACCAGGAGGGTCACCCATGTTTGACAGGTTTCAGCAGGACTTCCAGCCCAACACAGACGAGGAAGAAAGGCCTAGAGATCTACTTCCAAAAATCAGCCACTGAAAAACCTACGAATCACAGCAGAACGTTGTTCAACTCACTTGCTTTGGACACGCCATCAGGAAGGATCCATCACTGGAGGAGGACATCGTGTTCGGTGGAGTAGAGGGCCAGCGAGGGAAAGGAGACCCTCGGTAAGATGGATTGGCACCGTAACTGCAATGATGGACTCCACCTTGGGGAAGATGGACTGGGAAGTGTTTTGTTCTGTGGTACATGAGTCACCCTGAGGTGGAGTTGACTCAATGACAACTATCTATCCATATGCCCCAGGTTGCCAAAGATCCACCATACCTGTCACCTGAGGCAGGAAGATCTATAGCATCAGAAACGAAACTCACTGCCATAGAGTCGATCCCAAGTCACAGTAACCCCTATTGAGTTTCCGAGATGGTAAATCTTCCCCCGTCTTCTGTCTGTGGAGTGGCTACTGGGTTTGAGCTGCCAACCTTCTGGTTAGCAGTCAGATGCCTTAGGCACTACCACAAAGTCTCCTTTATAACATCATGTGCTCCTGAAAATGGCCCTGTAGCATCAGAGGCAGTGGCTAACAGATAGTCCCACTAGATTACAAAAGTCCATAGGGGGGTCATGTTGGCCTTGTCCTAACACAGAATCTGGGACGGAGGAGGCTCTCAATAAATGTTTGCTGGATGGATGAATGAGTGAGGGATGAGTGATGGGTGGCTGGATGGGTAGATGGATGGATAGATGAATGAATGGGTAGATGGATGGATGGATGGATGGATGGATGGATGGATGGATGGATCGGTGGATGGATGGATCGGTGGATGGATGGATGAATGAGTGGATAGATGGATGGAAGGATGAATGGGTGGA